ATATGTGATCCCCACTGCATTTTATGAAACAAAGTTACCTTTCGTATCTGTTCTTTTGAAATATTTTAAATATCACCTGACTTGAATTTGCATTGGTGATTCAGAAAAAAACATACATGAACAGAAAGAAAATACTGTTACAAAGATAGTTGAACTAATAACTAAGAAATATAAAGAAAGTGAAGAAACGTATAATAGTTTTGAAAATCCCTCGCTGAAATTTTCATTTTTGATAATTTAGTTAATAGAAGAATAAGAAATAATTCATTTTATCCAAACCTTTACTTTAAATTTTTCAATCTAAAACTTTTAAGAACGATAGAAGGCTGTCTGTACTCAAATTCTTTTTTTCTGGAGGTGAATAGGTGGGTTTGTGACAGATTTGAACAATTTAACATAGAATTTGAACATACATAGCATTATTCATAATAAGTGGTTAATATTGAATTTATGAATATTATGAACGATTAACTTTAATATTCAGATTCTGTTACAATTAATATTTATAACTGGTTTATCAAATTTTTCAAAAGAATTAAAGGCATATACCTTTTTTTTTTTGTTAACGCTGGAAAAATGCTTTTCGCATACCACTCTACCCGGGGTAGGCAGTTGTGGTTATGTGGGACTCCTAGGTTTAAGCACCCAGTCTACCCACTAAAAAACCAGCGTAATTACTCCTCGCCACAAAAGGTGGAAAGAGGCCGCGGTAACGCTTTCGCCCAGCCCGCGGCTAAAGGCATATACCTAGACATCCTTTATGACTGCTTCAAATTTTAAAATTAAATTAAATTAAATTTTTTATTTTTAAATTGAACTTCCAATATTGATAAAGTGATAGTTAAAACTGCGTAATTGGCATAGAAATTGACTCTGCTTGATCGCAAGGGTTGACTGGAATAATCTTCCTCTTATATTTTATACTAATGTAGGTTTCCCATTTTGTGATTTTATTCAAGATATTTTTATATATAGGGATGAGACGGTATTTGAATTGTCCATATTTATCAATATAGGAGATGTTTCTTAAAATGTTTAAGCTTATAAAGACGATAATAATGTTTTTTACAATATCAACTTAAGATATTTTGTAGTCTCTCTTTTTTTTTAAAAAGTTGTTACACGTAAGTTGTTAATTTGACCGAGAACAAAATGAATAAACATGAGCGTCTCTAAAACATTTTGATGATGATCCACTTCGAATAACATAATAATTCGAGTGGCTGGCTTGTACATGTCTTCTATTTACATATATTTCTTGTTTGCTATTATAACAGTATAGAAAGGAGTGTAAAAGAACATTGGACTGCAGTGATCGCCTTTTATAAAATGATAATAGATCCGTGGGTTATATTTCTGACACTCCAAAATTTTGGTATCAGCTGTTTGTTCGTAAATCATACAATCAAAACATACAACAACACTGTTGAAGATCAAATAAGATCGGGGCCGCCTCGTACTGTTAGAACTACATAGGCTGTTGTTTAGGCCAGAATTTATTGAAACCCCATTAGGAAGCAAAAACTCTTATCTCGAGAGATGAAGGTTCTTACCAGTCCTCTATCGCTTATTATATAACAAGACCTGAAGCTCTGCGCTTAACGTAGATTAAAGGCATGCCTTAAATAAATCTTTTCAATTTAAAAGATTGGATCAATAAATACGCCTTCTGTGACAATATGCAGGAAAGTCAAAAATATCCTTAAACTTTCTAGCAGGACGCTGGACTTTCTCAGAAAGCACGTATTAGCGAAGCCTAGCTTGAAACCTACATTTCGAACGTTATAAGAGCTAAATGCTGGCTCTCATAAGGGCTAGACCCTCTGTACTTCAAATTATGGTTAGTTTTAGAACACGTGGCATGCTCTGATTCATTGAGTCTCTTAAAAAACCTTTGGAGCGAGCAGTGGCCAACTTTCCCTTGGAAACAGTGTGTGAATATATAGATTGGTGGTCAAATAGATTTAAGGCATTTATAATCCAAAAATGGCCATTTTGAAAATATTTCTTTCTGGGTCATTAGTTTACTTACTGGTGTGTTTGTGTACAATTTTGGTTGTCTTTTCACATATTAATTTACAATATAAATATGAATAAATTAATATAATAGTTTAGATATTATATTTTTAACAATGATTACTATTTTTACCACTAAAAATTCTGCGATATCATGAATTTATGTGTTCAAATAAGTTAAGATTACTTCATAATTAAAAACATTTTACAATATTGAAATATATGTAATTTAACAATTAGTTTAGATATTGAATTCATATTATTTAAAATTTACTAATTAAATTTGTCCACAACAAAACAAGTAAAACTTTCTAATATAACATTTTTTGTCACTATAAATGAGCCTGTCAATTCTTTAGAGCAAATATCTGTTGAGATGTTTTTGCAGTCAGAAAGTTAATTAATGGTGAAAAATGCACATAAAAAAATTCTCAAAATATAGGTACGTTAATAAACATAGTATAAAAATATCTGATAGTTATATACAAAGTGTGTCGAACTAATGAAGTTTTACAATTCTTATGGTTTCAGTTACCTATCAATATATATATTATTCCACACTTTTATATGTTATTTATAATGATTACCTGAGTTTTTGTATAAATGGTGTTACTAATTTAATAAAGTTAATATATATTTTTTAATTAAGATTATATTAAGTTTATATTAAGAAAACGCTTATTTTGAATTTGTAAATAATGGTTAAGTTAATAAAATGATTATACTATATCCATAATTTCTATTATATAAAGCATTACAATCAATACTAACAGTACATATTTTTCATACCATATTTGGTACAAAGTTCTTTCTTTTTCAACCCCATGCTTTCGACAATGTTCATCAAGTTTATCTCGTTTCGTTGGACGTACTTCAGAAGACTTGTTTGAATTATACTTTAAATACGGTTTTAAGAATAATCAACAGTCACATACCTACTGTTCAAAGTTTTAACAACCAAAAAAAATTACTTTTCATAAATTAGTATGGAGTATTAAAATGTTGTCATATCTTCTTTTTGACAGGAAATTCGTCGATTATACGTTTTAATTAACAATTAAATAACATTAATGGAAATAAAGGATGTAGAAACTTATCAAATGTCGGAACTACAAAAACAAATATTAACTATATATATGATGTGTTTAAACTAGACAGACCTTGTAGTCACAATTGTTCTAGTTACAATAAATAGCAACTGTTTCAATATTAGGCACCAAAAAGTGTTTTGAAATGAATTAGAGTTACCTCATCTATACTAATATTATAAAGCTGAAGAGTTTGTTTGTTTGTTTGAAAGCGCTAATCTCCGAAACTACTGGTTCAAATTGAATAATTATTTTTGTGTTGGATAGTCCAGTTATCGAGGAAGGCTGTGGGATATAAAACATCAGGCTACGACCAATAAGAGCAAAGATATACTTAGTGGTAAATGTGTAAAAAACGGGAGAAATTATTTCATCTTTGAAGCCTTCCGTTGCATGCGCCGTGAAAACGGTTCAAGATACACAAAAAATATGCATTAAAGAATAATAGCTCTTTTAATGATCTAAAAAACAGTCTGCGACAGTATAAGTCTATCTATTAAGTTTAACTCACAAAAACCGTTTTTATGGTACCTAATTTGGTCGAAATAATTTGTTTAAGTTTTATTAACATAATAATATTAATCTTTATTCAAATAAAGAAATAAATATGTTGTTGGTTAAGAGTACTTCATTGTGAATAAAAAAAAACATAGGTTTTATCCTGAAAATTCTACGGGAACTCGACCATTCCGAAAACCCCGCAAGAACGGGAACTACATATGTGGGAAGAACCAAAAATCTGCCGGAAGTCACTATTCCACGCGGACGGAGTCGCGGCAAAAGCTAGTTTATTATATTAGACTACTTAGGTGACTATGATGATAAAATTCATATAATTTACAAATTTAGTATGTTTTTTTTATTATTATTTTATTAACATTTATTCATAAGCAAAATATATATTCGTAATAATCCTAAAAGATAAGCAGTTTAAAACTTAATTACAGTAGAAATTTATGATCTACAAGTCTTTACTGAATTTAAAATACGTCTGATAAAACATTTTGTTTTTCACAATCTCAATTATTATATTATCAATGAAAAAGTTGCATTTCATTAGTTGATTAACAATTAATTGTCGTAGTGTCGAAGTTGTTGATATAAAATACACCACGTCTGTACCATGATCTCTTAAATTATATTGTATTTTAATTAATAAACCTTTCTTTCATTGAATATTAGTATTCGCTATATAAAGCTGGTTACAATAGCACTGAATAAAATTTTAACATGACTTGGTTTCGTGATCGCTATATGTGGAGGCAGGTACGATATATATTTTTATTTTTAATAACAGAAACAGCATTTTTTTACAAAATGTGTATAAAAATATAATATTTTTTAAGTGCTCTAAATGGAAAATATTCTAAATGAAAAGTATATGAAGTTTGAAAGCGGGTTTGTTTATTTTGTATAAAGGATTTCTTGCATTTGATTCCTTTTGCAAAGTCTGGATATTGCTGAACGGTGGCTAATCTTGTATAATTAATTGTTTATAAATGTTTGACATAAACATTGATAAAGATTCAATGGTTGATATAATACAATATGATTAGTATTTGTTTTTGAGTCAAGATTCATTAACGGATTTCTTTTTTAGATCAGTTTAATAAACATACTTGATTTTAGGGAAATTTAAAAGGAAAATCAAAGAATAGTCGTATTGTATGTCTGTTTTAAAGATGGTAGTGTATATACTATAAATTATAAGTAATTCAATTTATTTCTTATTTGTATAAAAAAATTTTAGTGCACTGTTTCTTTATATAAACTTTAACTTTGTTTAATTCTACGTTTCGTATAATCAACTTATGATTGCGTATTCCTTAGTGAATGAAAAATAATTTGAGTAATTTTCTATTATAATAAATATTTTATTATTTTGCTTATACATAGTATGGAATTCTCCTGGCTGACTTTGTGTGTTCGATAAGCAGCGGCTTCTTATTAGCATTTCCTTCAGTTTTGAATCCGGCTATTTTGTCTCCAAATAGCACTGATATTAGAGCTACTACTTCCCAGGCTTCATCAATCGGTATGTAAAGAAATTAATTATGGTGGTTTAGATCAATATTGTCATAACAATTTATTCAGTATGTCTTAAACCTTTTATGATCATAACGTTATGAAAGATAACTTCAGGAATATATATTTTAGGGTCTTCATAATTGTAATTGTAAGCTTAATTGTCATTGTTCCCATTAAATTAAATAAAATCTTTGCTGTTTATCTTTGTCGTAATATTATTGTAATTTTTTTTATTATATTTGTATTTTTTTTTCAGCGGGAAGTCAAGGTCTGGCAGGGGCTGCTGGATTAGTTCTCCTTCCATTCTGTATGACTTCAATCGGTAGAAGGACCGTACATATAGTGATAAACTTCATAATGGGATTTGGATTCTTGATTTTAGCACTCGCTACCAATATCTTATACTTGTATGCGGGCAGAATTATACAGGGAGTTATACTTTCAGGAATCTATGTAACTAGTATTATGGTAGCTGAATATTCCGATCCTATCAGACGTGGTTACTTTATAACAATAAAGAAAGGTTCAGTTACGTTGGGGTCATTGATTTGCCATTTAATGGGAATATATTTCACTTGGAGACAATGCGCGTTTTTTGCAATATTTCCTAATCTTCTTGCTATAATTTTGACGCTGTACTGGCCGGAAAGTCCGTCGTATTTGGCCATGAAAGGTAGATACAAAGAATGTGAAATATCTCATAAGTGGTTGTTCGGTGAGAGTGCTGAGCAAATGAAAAATTTGGAAAACATTATAGCTGCTCAGAGAGAAAGAAGATCACAGGAAAGAAATAAGAATCGTTTAAAGAAAACATTTTCGAAAATGTTCAGGAAAGATTACGCTATTCCCTTTGTAATCGTTAGTTTGTTAACCATAATAATTGATTGCTGTGGAAGGTACTATATGAATGCCTACATTGGACAAATTCTAAAAGAAATGATTGATAATAAATCTGTTGCGAATTATTTTGCTTTAGGATCTGATACGCTTGGATTAATTGCGTTAGTATGTTCTTGTTTTATTATTAAAATCTTTGGAAGACGTCAGAATTTGTTTGGATTTGGAGCAGTTTCAGTGATGTTAATGTATCTGATTAGTATTTTAACATATTTAAAATCAAATTATCCCCAGATTGTGATTGGATTATTACCTCCTATAATCATTCTAGTTAACGTATTCATTGTAAATGTGGGTATTATACCGACATCTTTTGCAATTGTTGGAGAAATTTTTCCTTTAGAGCACAAAGGTTCGGGGATTTTCACAACGGGTATAGTTTTTAACCTTTTTTATGCAGCAGTTTTGAAGTTTACGCCACTATTGATAGAATACGGTGGTATTCAGGGTACGTTTGCAGTTTTTGCTACCATAAATGTCGTTTGTTTTGTTATTTTATATTTTATTCTGATAGAAACAAAAGACAAAACATTACAAGAAATTGAAGATGAACTTAAAGGTATTAAGAGTGCTAGTAGGAACACAGAGTTGTTAATGGAAAATCAGAGAAACTAAAATTTGTTTTGGGATATACTTATATATCTTTACTTTTAATGATTCGATTTAATTAAACGTATGAAGATAACTCTTTTTTTAATAACGCTTTTCACTATTTCATTCATTTCATTTCTTTAAAAGTGTGATATAATACACATCTATGGTGATTTTTTTATGAGAAAGGTGGCAAATGAACTAATGGCCTACTTGATAAGCAGTTGTCATCGTCACCCATAGATATCCATAATATAAGAGATGTTTATGACTCCATGGTTGATGGGAAAAGTAGTATAGTTTATTTTTTTAGGTTTTCCTATTAATCATTTACCCTAGCACTAACCTTAACGTCAATGAATAAATTTATTTTCAAGTTATTTTCTACATTAATTCAATACAAAATATATATACAGCCTCCTTGAAGTACAGTTCTAGTTCTAGTTAATAAATATATTTAACAATCTCAAGTGACTAATATTGCTAGGTTTGAAATGGTCATTTTTATGATATGATCCAGTCAAAATGGTTAAGTTCTCTAAAAAAAAGGACGATATTTGGAATCGGTTAGAAAACTATGAATTTAGGACCCAATTTCACCAATCAATGTTTGTTTAGTCTAATCACAGCATTTACTAACCAACCTTCAAAATTATAAATGTCTGTTAAGATATTTACGTCCCACGATGACAAATTAACAACGCATTAAGAAACGTCATGTCAAATGACCGACTACCAAATTATTCGTTCTTGTTATAAGACGACCAAGTGGAAAATATAGCGTTTAACACGGCACGTTTGCCACGAAGCACCACTTTATATCCCTCGATACGTCACTTGTAAGCTAATGCGACCAAATTTTATATATCGTTGGTCGCAACTTGCATACAAAAAGCTTTCTTTTCAATTTACTAGGTGTTACTTGTCAAAATCGTGTTGTCAATAAATTGTCTTATATATTATTGTGTTATAAATATAGACATAAATTGTGTTCAAATTATAAGAAATAAAAAGAAAACTTAATTTGCAATGTCATAGAAAAGCCGGAGGCAAAATCATCATAGGAAATGAAATTTTAATTCACTTTATTAATAATAACAAGGAAATAGTCGAAACTGACAAAACAGATGACGTTACTATGGTTACAAGAAATCAAGGCTGTGATTGGTTAATTGAGTTTTGACAATGCCATTAACATTCTGTTAGCCATTAGATGGAGCTCCAGAGCAGGAATTAATATTAGTGGCTGGTTAAAATATTTAAACGGACATTTGTGCGTGGTGGGACGCTCGATACATCTAACAAAGCATCAAACACCTTAACACGATGTTACTTATTTAACATTCATTGGTGAAACTGGGTCTAAGAGTCCTGTAATCATTTATGCATTTCTAAAAAGAAAACTACTAAGTACTACTAACTAATAAAAAATAACCTAAAATTGAACATGAATAATAAAGCATTCAAACAAAAATAAACCTTCACTTATCGGGTGGAAGGTTAAAAATAATGTTATTAGTAATTACTAATTATTTTGCTTTGGATGTTTTACTAATTATTTTGCTTTGCAAATTTGGTGTGTTAGAAATTAGTTTTTATAAATATAATTATTTTTATATAACCTCAAGACTTGATATGACCTGTTGCCATTAAAGGTAACTTTTAAGTAACATAGAAGTCTTGTCTTTATTTGCAGAAAACTCTCGTTTTCTAGATGACAATTTTGTACGACGAAGAAATTTTGCAATGGAAGAAAAATATGCTCATTGCTTTGGCCATATGCCACCGTTTAATCTGCCTCACCATTCTTTACATATAAACGTTTTCTCACAGAATTATCACATATAATCTATTCAATCTCAAGTCGCAATCACCACCAGTCTGTCACTCAAAACTAAGTGCACCAAACAAAACACAACAAAAGAATTGTTATCTTTCCAACAAGTATGTTAAGTAACCTCCATAATTATGTTTGATCGGTACCTTAATAGAAATCAACCACTAGAGCCATCTACGGAAAAAGTAATGTATTTTTTGGCCAAATTATTATATTATATAAAATAAAACTATTGTTAGCACAAAAATTTGATAACATAATTTGAATTCAGTTTCATTAAACATAAATAATGTCCCCTTTATGACCTCCTAAGATAATTCTATAAGTTATTCTATACTTCACCTTAATCGACCGTTGTTTTTGAAATAGAAAGGTGTCTATGTGTCTAGTGTATTTTAACAATAATTAATTTAACAATGACTTGTTTTAGAGATCGTTATTTTCGGAGGCAGGTATGAAAATTATCTTAGATTATATCATTGTATTTCCTCGACAGAATATTTTTATAGTAGCTACTATAGTTGCGGAGTTGATCTTTTTAGATGAAATACGACCTTAAAATGTGTGATTGTAAGACTTAACATGCATTTTTCAACAATACATTAAATGTAATTCATAGGTATAGAAGAGTGTTTGATTACGTTATAATATGTATGATTGTTTAAAATATATGTATGTATATTTTAACGATGTTTAAGAGTTTCGTGAGTATTCATTTAAATAAAACTAATTTTGTCGGAAGTACCATTGCGTTTTGTTATTTGAAATGTCGTTTACTTTTCAGCAATCGTAATAACGGCAGACGACAAGAAAATATCTGTCAGTTAGTCTTTTTATTTGTCAGCTACTCCAATGACTTCTTAGTTTCCTAGCATACCGCTCTGGATGCCTGTAGACTACTTTTCCTGCGTCTCGAGGTCCTGTCGCGGGGTAACAGATGTGACATCGTATGTAAATACAACGAAATTGTATGACTGACCTAAAATCCACAAACAAAGTGTTCTTGTACGCGTGATGTTGTGAGCCAGATTGATTCACCAACTCATAAATTAGCCAATTTTCTTTCAAAGATATTAAAATATCTCCGGGGAAACACAAAAACATTTTTAATAGATTCCTACCAGTTTGTTAATGATATAAAACATCTAAATTTAACAAACAATGACAGTATGGTCAGTACAGGCTTTATTACTTGATAATAATAGTGATCTAGATTACCCGTTCTTGACAGCATCTAGATTGTAATAGATAAGATGAAGGATAGCAATATGCTTATAGAGTATGCAAAGCTACTAAAGCTTCCTCAGTTGTCACTGACATATAAATAAGGGACTTTGAGGCCCAAGCCCTTTGCTCTACTTTCATAAAACATTTAGCGTGTAGACGACACCTAATAAGTATTAAATAAAATTAACATCTGCTTTTATGAACCAACTTAATTTTAGCAATAGTAAGATGCAGTGCACTATAGAATTAGAAGCTAATAATTTTTTAGCTTTTCTTGATAGACTTGTTATAAGAAAACCTCAAAATACTTTCATTGACTTCACTTAACAACGATTCCGTGACAAAAAGTTGGTGAATATAAACTTGATTGAGACTGAGGCTAGTCATAAACTGAACAGACAAAGAGGACCATCAGTATAAGAGTAATAAACGCATATTAAAATATAGGCGTGCGTCGAAGTCAACAGTGTGTAAAACACAATGAAAAAACCAGACTCCATTGGGTTTGATGACCACACATACCACGACTAATACGAGAGGCTATCGAAATTAAAAAAACATTCCAATTTCAATAGACATGATCTAGGCTGGAATCTATCTAACACCTGTTATCCCCTCGTATAAAACATAAAATCCCATGTCCGTGACCATACCCTAGGACCTCGAGACAGACAGACAGACAGACTCCAGAAAATTAAAAAATCATTAGCGGTAAATGACTAAATACAAGGGTATGTAATTGACAGATATTTTCATTTCGTCTGTCCGTGATAACGGTTGCTGCAAAGTAACCGAAAGATCGGGACCATGCTGTTTAAAATAATAAAAACGCGATAGTACACACGAAAATATTACATAGTTTAATTTAAGTATATATTTTTTATTTTCATTTCAGTTCACAATACTTCTGACAGATGTAGTATGTTCTATAAGCAGTGGCTTCCTCTTAGCATTCCCCTCGGTTCTGAATCCTGCTATATTATCTGCAAATAGTACTGACATTAAAGCTACAACGGCTCAGGCTTCATCAATTGGTGTGTATAACAAAAATATATTTACATAAATAAATGGAAGGAGAGTTGTAGACTTCTAATACTTCGTATTATTTATCTCTGGTAAGCCTTAAACTTTGATCTGTTTTACGTGTCTTCAGTTACTGTTTTATAATAAATTTCCTGTATTAATTTCTTTTAATATTCTCAACAGTATAAACACAGGTTTTCCAACATCCCAATGACACTATTTCAGAATAAATACAATTCAAAATATAGAAAAAAAAGGAAAATTGTAGGCACACATTTATGTAAAAATTTTTTTAAACATTGAGTTATAAATTAAAAAGTAGTCAATCAGGTAAGTAAGCAAACTAAAAAATATAATATTCATGATTGTCGTTATTAAATAAATCTGAATTTCATGAGGACTATTTTTGATCAAGAAATGAATTCACTAATTATATACGCTATTAATATATTTGAATATTATAAATATATTGCTCTTAACCATGGTTAGGTTTTTGAGGAAGAGTCAATTTATCAATAACAAACCAAAACTAATTTTCGATTTTATAGATTTCTGAATATCGATTCCAATAAATTTGCATAAAAAATAAATCAACAATTGTCACAAAACGTACTTTAAATTAAACAAAAATCATTGAAAAATTCATGAAAACGAAGAGGATTCGATCTTTTGACCTTCGGAATATTTCTTTCCAGTTTCTTTGAAATTAATCTATAGCGCCCTGACTCAAGTCAATAACCTAAACATTTTATATATGTATTAGTACTATCATATTGTTATGAATTTTAATTTAGTTATTAATTTGGCTTTGTCTTTATGTTAAAAACATAATTATACACGAGTGACTGTTATCACAATTAGGTAACCCAGAGTATGTATCGTCAAATATTATTCAAATTTGCAGTTTTCAGGATTTTTAAAAGTAGTAACTAAAGTACTAACATCGCTTGAGCGGCAGTCAAACTTTAATTTCTTATTAATATAAGAATATCTATGGAAAGTCATTAGTAGTATCAAGTATAACTGGGAAAACATGTAATTGCAATTGAGATCAATTTCTTGATAGTTTGTTACAATCCTCTTTATATTGCTTTTGAAACTAAAATGGTAAACTTCTTGTTACTCAATTCTCATGTTGTGAAAATTTTATGTATTTTATTAAGTGACAAATAAATCTTATTCTATCAATTGTTACCATTTTCATTATAAATACTTGGACCTAATTACATAAAGCATTATTAGGGTTTTCTTTGACATCCGTATTATGTGAAGTTGTGGTATTCTAATATATGTTTTTTTACAGCGGGAAGTCAAGGTCTGGCTGGAGCAGTTGGAGTGATTCTTCTTCCATTTTGCATGACTTCGATCGGCAGAAAATCTGCACATATAGTTATGAACGCATTCATGGGATTTGGCTTTCTTACAATTGCAGTGGCCACTAATATTTTATATTTATATGCGGGTAGAATTATACAAGGAATTATATTTTCAGGTGTTTACGTAGTTAGCATTATAGTAGCTGAATATTCCGCTCCACACAGACGTGGTTACTTTATTACGCTGAAGATGGGTTCGGTAGCTTTTGGATCACTGATTTGTCACATAATGGGAATATATTGTACTTGGAGACAATGTGCATTTTTTGCTATGTTCCCAAATATCGTTGCTATAATCATGACATTGTTCTGGCCAGAAAGCCCATTCTATTTGGCCATGAAAGGCAGATACGATGAATGTAAAAAGTCTTATGAATGGCTATTTGGGGATGATGCAGAACAAACAAAACATTTGAAAGACATTATTTCTGCGCAGATGGAAAGACGATCAGAAGAAAAACATAAAAATCAATTAAAGACAACAATAACTAAAATGTTTAGAAAAGATTACGTTATTCCTTTTTTAGTTGTTAATTTGTTGACATTGATAATTGATTGTTCTGGAAGGTACTATATGACGGCTTATGTCGGACAAATTCTCTTAGAAATAACGGGAAGCAAATCAGTTACAACTTATTTCGCTTTAGGCTGTGACATATTTGGAATCGTTGCCCTATTTTGTTCTTGTTATGTCACAAAAACTTTTAAAAGGCGACGAAATTTGTTTGGATTTGGGGCATCCTCTGTCGTATTAATGTACATAATCAGTATTTTAATGTATTTAAAATCAAATCATCTCATAGATATTAATGTATTGTTAGTTCCATCTGTTGTTTTAGTGAATGTTTTCATTGCTAATATAGGCGTTATACCAACATGTTTCTCTATAATTAGTGAGATATTTCCATTAGAACATAAAACGTCTGGAATTTTTACAACTGGTATATTTTTCAATTTGTTTTATGCTGCAATTTTAAAATTTACTCCATTAATGATAGAAAATAGCGGTGTTCAACGCACTTTTGCTATTTTCGCGTCTATAAATCTCTTTTGTTATATTGTTCTACATTTTATATTGATTGAGACTAAGGATAAACATCTACAAGAAATTGAAGATGAACTCAAAGGTTTGAAAAGGAGGTCTAAAAATGACCAGTTGTTGATGGAATGACATAAACTTAGTGCTTGAATCAAGTAGTTCTATTTCGGAGAACAATATAGTTAATTTCTTTTATTTTCATATTAAGTTTGGATTTGTTTTTACATAAGTGAATGTTAATTTTGTTTAGCTTTCTTTTAATTTTCTGCTTCATAATTTAATGTAGATATAATAATACAATGTTTAAAGGCATTCTTCTTGAAGACGAACGGTCTTAATACTTGTGTCATAATATTTTAAAAGTTTGTTATAAAAGTTACTTAAAACTTAATAATATAAAATTATTTAAAGATTTTTGCGTATATTATTATTTTATATCTACATAATCCAAACGCTTTTGTTTCTTGAAGTCTTTACGTGTGGTCCGGGATATGAGATTTTATATTATTCATGAGGGAATCCCAGATGTTACTAGCCACCTTCTCCGTTGAAATTAAGATGTTTTTAATTTCAATTGCCTCTTGGATTAATCTCGTTCCGTACCTGTCTGTATGTGACGGTTATTTTCTTTAAATAAGTATCTCAATATGGAATGACACCCTTATCCTTGCCAGTTAACTATGTACTATTAGCAAATCTTCGTTTCAGAGAGCCCAACACGTCTGTGATTTTAAATATCTAGAAGCCGAGCTGCTTGCCTATGTTTTGTGGGCATCGCAAAGACCATATAAAGCCAGCAACAGTTGAGCTATATATCTAGCAACAGTTGAGCTATATAGCTATATATACCTGCCATATTTAAATATATGAAGGTATTGACAAAATAAGTAACTTCTTCCAACAAAACAATAAAAAACTTCAAAAAGTAAGCCAATTCTTGAGACTGATTAAGAGTGTCAATTTACAGCAAGCGGGTGTATTCATTCTGGTTGTGATTGAGGCTTGTCATAGATTAAGAAGAAATAAAAATTCTAATAAAACTGTTTTGTAATTGAAAACATTCTGAAGGTTTTATAAATAAAAGGCTGAATACATTTTAAAAACATGTTTTTCTTTTTCATGTGTTACAAAGAAAAATGTATTGTCATTTTGTATGTGTTTTCATAATATCATGCATATGTATAAATATAAAATAATTAACATATCTGAATTAAAATGATATTTATTAGTTTTTTATTTAAATATTATATCTGTGTATCATAAAGTTTTTTCGTCTTTTTACATTTCAAATAAAAATATGTAGAGAGTTAACAATTTTTTGTCTCTTTATTGTCGGACCTGTTTTAGGTTATTTCTATCTTGTATATTAAAAACAAATTGGTCCAAACAAGTGAATCATTATATATTGAGTGTCTAAAATACGACGCGGACGTAACAAATAGTTGATGTTATCGCCCTATAAGCAGTCAATATTAGCTCTATGCATAATTATGAATGTATATGTTACAGAGTCCACTTAACCTGTAAATTAATAAATTTTAGTAATAAATAAACCATTACAACGCTCACATGTCTCTTCATTACTTATATTACCGCACATTCTAATTTGAGCTTTATCGCCTTAAAAATAGTGTTATATTGACATGTGTTTAGCTTGCCCGTTCTGATGCACTCAAACCTCAAATACGCAATACCTAAATAAAGCAATTTACATAACTCAAAAGAGTAATTTATGACATGACAACATGAGGGTTACATGACTTTTTGTTCTAGAAAATACGATGAAAAAACCTTATATGAAAACACACTTCCATGTTTACTTCCATGTATTTCGTTACATAGAAAAAATATATTAATAAGCTTTACAAACTCAAAGGAAATGTCACCATTGATTTTCTAGTAAAAATTATCAAAATAAATTAAAATTTTTAACAAATTTTAGGTTCTCATCATTTCCAAAATTAATAATTAAATATGTTTTACAGATTATTTCCATTTTTGATAATAGAGTGTTGATACTGTCAATGTTTTTTCTAAAAAGATTTTTATCTATAAAATAGAAAGTAAGGTAAGGTGTCATTTTCCTTACAATTTCATCAAATTATTTAAACGAAGTAATTACGATATTATAATGATAGCTTAAGAAATAGTTAGTACTTCCTTAATTTAAGGAAATTCCTAATAATGTGTTAATTAATTTATTTTGACCTTTTATTGTTATTGCATTAAAGGTTGTTCATTTATTGTGTATTGATCTTTATCTCGTTTTCTTATACCCTTGACTTCATTTTCTATTTCTTGAAGAGTTTTATCTTTCGTTTCTATTAAAATAAAATATAAAATCACCAAGCTTATAAGATTCAAAGAACCGTAAATAGCAAAAGTACCCTGAACCCCAGTATTTTCCATCATTATTGGAGTAAATTTTAAAACACCAGCATACAACAGAGTGAATACTATCCCCGTTGTTAATAAACCAGTTCCCTTATGCTCCACAGGAAATATTTCACCAATAATAGCAAAACAAATCGGTATAACTCCAGCATTAACAATGAAAATATTAAATAAAATGATAGCTGGCGCTAACCATACATTGATAGCAAAATTGCAGTTAATTCTTAAATATGTTATAATACTTATTAAATACATTAATGTCACTGACATAAACCCAAAGAAAAATAAATTTTGTCGTCGTTTAAAAGCTTTGACATAGAAGCAGGAGCAAGCTATAGCTATTATAGTGAGAAAATCAGAACCTATCGTACAAATGACTGCAATAGATTTGTCACCGGTTATATCAATTAACATTTGAACAAGATACGCTAAAATATAGTATCTCCCACAACAGTCAACAATCAACGTTAGTAAACAAACAACCCAAAAAGGTATTTGAAAATCTTTTCGAAACATTTTGATTATTGTTATCTTGAATGATTTTTTAATTCTTTCCTGTCGTACCCTATTTTCTTGGGCCGAGATTATGTTTTGTAAATCCTTATCATTCTTTGGACTATCACCATGCAACCACCTATAGGATTTCGCACATTCATCATATCTTTCTTTGTATGCCAAAAAGTAAGGACTTTCCGGCCAGAAAAAAGTTATGATAATTGCAATTATATTGGGGATAATTGCCAGTGCTGCGACTACCCTCCATTCTAAAAAGATACCAATGGAATGACAAATTAAAGATCCTACAGCAACCGCGCCTTTTTTCAGCGTTATGAAGTAACCACGGCGATTAGCATTAGAATATTCGGCTATCATAATAGTTGTAACATACACTCCACAAATAGATAATCCTTGTATCAGTCTTGCAGCATATAAAGATTCAACATTCTTCGCTAAGACGAAAATTAGAAATCCTATTCCTACAAGCAGGTTTATTCCTATGTGTACGGTTTTTCTGCCAAATGTTTGCATGAAGAACGGAAGTAAACAAAATCCAATGGTTCCTCCCAGGCCTTGACACCCAGCTGAAAAAGATTAAATTTTTATTATTTAATAATCTTGTACGAGATGGTATGACTTGTAGTCAATATTAACATTACTTAATTAAAATAATTAGACTAATATACAGTAGTTTTAATTAATGGCGATATAATAGGGAAATCTTGTAATATTATAAATGTGAATGTTTGTGTGGAAGTATGAAATTTGAGTAATTTTTCTTTAATGTTCCAAAGATGTCCCAAAGACATTAAATTAAATCATAATGGTTGTATGTATAATTGTCGTCAGCCTATCAGAGCCCACTGCTGAGCAAAAGCATCTTTCTCACATGGAGAAGGTTTGAGCATTAATTACCACGCTTGCTCAAGACGGGTTAGTAATTTCAAACTTATAATTGTGAAGTTATAAGTCCAGGTTTCCTCACGATGTTTTCCTTCAACGTCTGTAAGTGTTGTCTAAATAATCTTAAAAAGTACATATGACTCCGAAAAATCACATTTGTACTTGCCAGGATTGAACCCGCGTCCTCGTGCATGAGAGGCAGGCCCTTTAACCACTAGGCCACCACTGACTTATAATGACTGACTGTATGTATAATGCGTTCAGGAGCTACAATTGTATTGTATATATAAAAGGTATTATTAAAATTATGTATATCATACCAATCGATGAAGCCTGGGACTTGGTAACTGTGATATCATTACTATTTGGAGACAAAATGGCAGCGTTTAGAAGTGACGGAAAACACAACATGAAACCAGTGCCAACGGAGTATGATACGTCTGCAAATAGTATTAAACTCTGAAATAGAAAAACATAATTTATTATTATCAAATAAATTTTATACCTAAGAGAATATCAACTAGTTGGAAGGTATTATCATATAACCAAAATGGAAATTTGTTATATAATTTGGTGCTAAAACAAAATTCAGATTAATGAAAATCGTCATATAATCCCCGCTTATGTGTAGTTCTAACTAAAAATCTTTATTCCTTAACGTTTTAAACAATATTTACACCAGCTTCTATTTGACAATTGTTATAATCTAAAGACACAAACTCAAATTGTTTTTTCTATGTACCCACATTTGGCTTTATAGGTTTAATAGTGTCCTAATCCAGTTTGCAGAACTTGTAAAAAATCTAGTTACGTATGTCAAAGTTTACTTTAAACGCGATTCAGCATTCTGTATTTCAATTCAAAGTGGTCTTCTTGTAGATTTTCCAAATTTAACAATATTGTTGATACCATAACTCATTATGTATAAATATTGAAATAATTATAATTTCGTGAAATCCTTTTTAAAAAATATTTTAGTTCTGAATAATCCCTTTGAATGTCTATCAAATAATTCCATAAAACGTCTACTATGGAAAGTTGAAAAGGCTTTACAAGATAAAGAGAAGAACAAATAAAATGACTACAGTAGTTTTTACAAATCATTAAACAGTATTTAAGATTCAAAGGAAACTTTATATTTTCGTATGTACTAGGCGCTTCTTATTATTTTAAAGACAATATAATCCCGACGTTTCAGTTACTTTGCAGCAACAGTAATCACGGACAGACGAAATAAAAAATGTAGTCTTTTAAAATAATAATAAAAACAATCAAAACACGAGCATTTTTTTTAAATAAATAAATTTTCGCGAAAGTCTTAAATATTTTAGTCTTAATGTCAAAATTTTTATTTAGGCAGGGTTGTAAAATTAATTTCATACATAAATAAGATTCAAACTTAGTTATTCGGAGATTTATTTGTACTCAAATAACTCGTGTGCGTTGAATCGTTCACCTCCGTCCACCGCTCACATACCTTACACGTTTATTTAACATTCCGAATCAGTTAAAAATAATAAATAAATTGGATGAAGGTAACGAAAGCACTCTATCTAAGTTTGGCAACTTTAAAATGATGACAATGAAGTCATATTCTTATCTCACTTTTAATTTTTATTCTACACAAGAGCACTTATACTTTCGCTATTAACATCCTAATAAAATAACTTAAAAAGTTTTAAGATGCTGGAAAGGTATTTCATACATTGTGTACCTAGGTTTCAAGGTCCACGTGCGTACGTATCAAACTAACAAATCCTTTTTAATAAGAAAGTGACTAGTAACGAAATATTTTAATTTAATCTATAACGGTACATAACCTACGGATTTCTCATTTCTCATAAGCACCTTCAGATGTTTTCAAATAAACAAATGTAAGCCATCTTTATTATATGATATTTCGTAAACGCCATAAATATATGATAATAAATATATTTAAACTAAAATTTTATTATAATTTCTAATAACGTACATTAAATCACCAATTATATAATTGCAATTTACTTACGAAATGATAAAAAAAGTTTACATGGTACATAATATATTGGCCAAATAAATACTGAAATTATGTTACGGTTTTAATTACTTTTTAAACGTATCTTCTTCTAAGAAGCAGTGTCTTTGAAAATCCTAGAATTGCCTAGTTTTATACAAACACAAATATTTTCTGCGTCCAAGAGTTTTGAAGTAAAGTTATTTTATGTCAAAAAGGTACGATTTTCATTGAAAGGTGGCGTAGCTAGTATACGAACTAAAAAGTTTCTGGGTTCTTTTAATAGATGGCGCTTTTACCAATTTCAACAAATCATGAATCTAAAGAAATTATCAACTGTAAATATTCATATTGAGTGATGTGTAAGTCAAATTAATAATGCATGTTTATCTGTTTTATGGTAGGTTATTCAGTGATTATTCTGCATGTTTGATGTGTACGCTACAGCTATGGCAATAATAATTATTAAAACATGAAAATGACAAGACACTGTTTTTGGCAATCATTCTCACCCATATTTTCTATATTTTTTGATAAAACACACTTAATTTCCATAGTCGTGTCGTGTTGATTATGAGTTGTGTTACGAGTTGAGTATCTGTTTTAAACTAAAACTAGCTGACTAACACTTTTATTTCCCAGTCCTGGAATATATAGATACTTGTGATTGGGTCTTATTACAACAAATAATGAACAAAACTTGAGTGATTGCAATGTCTGTATACGATTTTTATTCGGTTTGATTACACATATTACAAAGTTTTAATGCGTATAAAATCATATATAAACATACAAAATAATAATAACAATTGTAGTGGTTAACGATACCTACACCAGAAGTGTTACTTTCATGTCTTTACAAAATTCTTATTTACGGTAGTAGGCCTCACTATCTAAATAATCGCTTTATTTCCCTAGCTCTGTTTTTACTTTTTATGTTAATTCGGAAAATGATTATATTAATTAAGTACCTATAAGTAACAGTAAATATTACGGTAACTTCTTTACCATCCGTGAAAAAATATGTATTACGTTTCATTCTAAATATCTTCTTCTTCCTGGCAATTTCCCAGTTTTAGCCAGGGTCTGCCTTACATTATGAAATAGTTTTGGCTAAATGTTTTTACGACCGTCCGCCTGCCTGACATCAACCCACTTTGGGAACGGATTAATCACCACGCTTGCTCAAGACGGGTTGGTGATTTCAAACTTATAATTGTCAAATTATAAATCCCGGTTTCCTCACGATGTTTTCCTTCACCGTCTGTGAGTGTTGACTAAATATTCTTAAAAAGTACATATGACTTGGAAAAATCACTTTGGTACTTGCCAGGATCGAAGCCGCGTCCTCATGCATGAGAGACGGGCCTTTAACCACTAGACCATCACTGACTGTTTCATTTTAAATATGTATATTTTTATATTTTATAATATTACTGCTTTTATTACTTTTATCGCTATTCCAAAGGATAATTTGTAAGAAACTAATTCTAAAGATTAAACCATTACTACACCATTAATCTTCTTTTTCTAAGATATTATAAAATTTGTATGTATGCAATATATAAGATATACATGAAAAAATAATAAAACTTTATGTATTAAAGAGAAATGAAAGACGAAGTATTTAATCCGAAATCCCTAAGTAATAGGGAAAGTAAATCCCTAAGTAAATAGGGAAGCCTTTTTTCAAATATTTAGTAGAAATACATACGTGTGACGTTTAATTTAAATGACTTTTAAATGTAAAAAAGCTGCGTTAATTTTTTATTTCTTACCTGTCTCCAGAAATAAATATCTCGATACCAACTCATGCTGAAATCTGTTTCTACGTTAACTAAACTAAAAACTGAGGTTAATTTGGTTCAATGTTTTTTATAAAACTAAATGTTTGTTACAGACCGGTTCTTATTGAACTACAAAGACATGATAATTACCATTTATGATACATGTTAATTACCAAAACCGGCCTTTAAAAAGGTTTAGATATTTAATATAAGTAAATTTTAATATATGTTAATATAACTTCTTATCTTATGAGTGACACAAATGAAGCCATTACAAAATATACTATAAGACGTGTCAACAATCGGGCCTCCAAGAGTTATATAGACTGAAAAAAATATCACATTTGAATAAGAGTCAGTTAGTGAAAATATGTAAGCTTTTTTAAACGTATCAGTGCATTAAATATTGAAGTTACAGTTCATTTTCAATACCCAAATCTGGTTTCAAGAAGATTGCTCAACCGCCTATACCTTTCCCACTGCTATGTTCTTTGTCAGTAATTTTTTCCCTAACAAAGTGATATCTCGAAGAGAAAACATTCTCTGACCATCACGTAGCTTGAATTTGAGTCCAATGGCCCTTTCATTATAGGGTTATCATTAGTGTAAATTTTACGAAACAAATCAATCTCAATCCGAAAATTACCGATGAGAAATGTCAAGCATTTCAGAGCGTACTTGTCAAAAACAACGGTTAATAGCAAATTTTTAATGCGCCCCAAAATTGAGTTGGCCGTGGTTGGAGGATTCTAATGCAGATAGATTTAGTGTATCTGTCTGGAATTTTATTAGTAGAGGGCCCATTTTACCAGCTGAAAAAAACTAAGCAATATAGAATAGACTTTTGATTTTTGTAAAACATACGTTGAGAAAGATTATTTATTCTGTTCATGGGAAACTGTATGACAAAGAAAATGTCCATAATTCGGCTTCAAAAAATATCATACACGGAAAGTCAGTGTAGGGGATGGTTTTGTCTGATAAAATAACCATGTCGGTTACCATAATTATAAGGTCCCACTGAGAAATTTATTTTACTTGTACATTGAAACAACATAGAACAAACTTTGCAAGAGATAATTAAAACGCCTAGCCGATTTTCAATACAGAATTTGTGAAATAAGCAGAAGTAAGAAGAGAAAATTATAACACATTTTTTATAAAGTCGAAGTGTTATATGTAGGCATCTCGTAAAAAAGTTTAAAGCTCGTAATTAAAAAGACAGGGAATGAGTCTAAAATGAAGGTTTTATAAAAGTGCTGACTAAAAGTCTTCCTTGCACTGTGATTACTAGAAGTGGAATCTTATGATTATTGATTTTTAATTAATGGTTTTTATATAAAAAGCCTTTTTCCGTAATATAAAGGGTTTTTTCCTATCGAAATGTTGAATGTAGACAGTGTAGTTCACATTATTTTGACTATGTGATTACTTTATATTTATTTAATACAAACAAAACATTCTTACATCTGTATTACATATATTAAATATCATTAGTAAAATATATCTATAAAACAATAAATATAATTAGAATATCTTAAGCCTCTGTATTGTAACAAGCAATATTGTTTAATATTGTACCAAGCCCCTCCCGTCAAAATCAAAACACATATATTTTTTTTATTGTAATTGATATAATATCTGTAGTACCGAGAAAAAAATAAACATCCTTAAAACAGTAAATTAATAAGCATCCTTGATCCTTCCACAGCTTCTCATAGTTTGATTGGACAGGATAATTATGTGCTAAATGAAAAAAAATACATTATCTTCGTGACTTTATAAGACAACTATGATCTTAACCTACTTGGTTCTGAAGTAACCTTATGACTATTTGAAATAAACAATATTTTTTCCAGGTGTACAAATAAAAGTTCTTTTGTTGTATTTATATTTACAAATATATTTTATAACTTCTATCATTATATAGTAACAATAAATAATAAACAACATATGTAAAGTCACTTATAAAATAATTTTTATATTTAATTACTTCTATCTAAATTAAAAAAAATTGTTGTAAAAACAATCAGCTGCTTTAACGTGACCATTTGTTTATTTAATATAACACAGGCAGTTGTTTTAACTTTGTTTAGACTTAGTAACAGCAATATGATATAAAGATTAATTATCGACACGTGTAGATGAAAACACAAAGATCAAATAACATTATTATTTGCCAAGTAAATAGACTAGGCATTATATTTTTTTAAGGTCATCATTATCACAAAAATTATTGTTATATTCGTTCTTTTAAATATTTTCTGAATTTTTCAAGAGTTGGTCATTATGGCTGGGATTAATACCATCACGTTTCTTGATACCTTTTAGTTCATCTTCAATTTCTTGAAGAGTCCTATCCTTTGTTTCAATCAAAATAAAATATAATATCACAAAACTAACGAGATTCAGTGTAGCGTAAATCGCAAAAGTACCATGGACCCCGGTATGCTCCATTAACATGGGAGTGAATTTCATAACACCAGCATACAATAATGTAAAAACTATACCTGTCGTACAAAGTCCAGATCCCTTATGTTCTATTGGGAATATCTCGCTGACGATAGCAAAACAAGTTGGTATGACCCCAGCATTAACAATAAATATATTAGTTAAAATTATAATTGGAGCCAACCATACATTAACACTTATATTGCATTCTGTTCGCAAATATGTCACTATACTTGTCAAAAACATTAAAATTACTGATATTGCTCCAAAGGTAAACAGATTTTGGCGCCGTTTAAAAGTAGAAACGATGAAACAGGAACATGCTAAAGCTACTACTGTAAGCAAATCAGACCCTATAGTACAATATGTGGCAATAGATGCGTCACCAGTTATATCTATTATAATTTGAACAATATAAGCCAAAGTATAGTATCTTCCACAGCAATCTATAATTAATGTTAACAAGTTTACAACCACAAATGGTATTAAATAATCTTTTCGAAATACTTTCAAAAACTTTGTTTTTAAGGGCATTTTATTTTTTTCTTGTGTCCGCCGTTCCATTTGTGCAGATATAATAGCCTCAAAATCTTTTTTGATTTCTGGACCTTCACCGTGTAACCATTTGTAAGATTTTTCACATTCAGAATACCTTCCCTTCATAGCTAAAAAGGAAGGACTCTCAGGCCAAAAAAATGTCATAAATATTGCTATGATATTGGGAATAATAGCAAAAGCAGCAACTTGTCTCCAGGTCCAGAATAGGCCCATGGAGTGGCACATCAATGAGCCAATAGCAACTGAACCCTTCTTCAATGTTATGAAGTAACCTCGCCGCTTTGCATTGCAGTATTCTGCTAACGTTATTATAGTGACATATACTCCACAAATTGATAGTCCTTGTATCATTCTAGCCGCATATAAAGCTGCAATATTTCTAGCTAACACAAAAACTAGAAATCCTATTCCAACAAGTGCATTAATTCCTATATTAACGACTTTTCTGCCCATTGATTGTAATAGGAACGGAAGAAGACAGAATCCAATAACTCCAGAAAGGCCTTGACTTCCAGCTGAAATGAAATGTGTTTTTAAATTTATCTTTAGTCTAGAAACTTATGAGTTACAAAAAAAGATAATAGAAACCTGCTTTGTGATATCTATAGAATAGCTAATTTACTTATGTCACCACAATAGTTTTTACTAGTCTAATCTATCTTGCAGCACTATTTCCTAACTTGAAGGTTGAAATGTCGATAAGTTTTATAATCGTTAGAATTTATTTAATATAAATTAAAGTAATTAGCTTGATTTGAAACTAATACAAAAAATATTTACGAACAAATTAATTTAAAGCATAATGCTTACCAATCGAAGAAGCCTGATCATTGGTAGCTCTGATGTCAGTGGTTATTGGAGACAAAATGGCAGCGTTCAGTAAAGATGGAAAGGACAGCATAAACCCGGTATTTATAGAATATGATAAGTCCGCAAAGAATACTAATCCCTGGAATAGTAAGATATGATACAGTAAAAGAAATAAAAATCACTCACACACTACAAGTCATTGTTATTTTTTAGAATTTTATTTATGTCATATCACTAATACTAAAAAATATATTTGTACCATTCATATAAGCTCCAATTCTAATATTTATTAGTAGTTACTTATAAATATTAAATTAGGGATTATCTTAAATAATGAATGATTTTAGAAATAACATAAGAATAACTAAACATATAATAGAATGAGACTAATTAATTTAAACAAAACACCGAAAAAATATAGAATGTATATAAATTTTACCTGTCTCCAAAAGTAACGGTCACTTAACAAACTCATTATTGATAATAACAAATCTTCTATAAATAAAAAAAAATTGATAATTCTTAAATTACTATCTTATTTATTTTACCCGCATAAGGAAAGCGAGTATATTTAATGTGAACACTACAAAGGTATCTCGTTGCAAATGGTCTTATAATTCTAAGCATTCGCTTACTAATACAAATTTATTGACGACCTTCAAACAGTGATATAAAAGATAGGAAAATTTTAAATAGAAATTAATAAATTACATATTTGTTTAGATGCGAAAGGAAAAAGTCAACAAAAAATTAAAGAAGGTCTTATTTTATTTCTCTTTTTTACTCTTATATTATTAATCTTATTTTTTTATCTAATTAATTTAAATTATTTTTATAGTTCTGAAAATTCATATTTTCATTCTTCTTTAAATAACCAATTAGGTGAATTATTTGTGAACGTAAGAGTTCGTTACAATAAATCTCGAAGCCTTGTAAAAATTTTTAAACTCCATTTGTATTGTAAAGATATTGGTGAGTTTTAGAATAAAAACATAAAATTTAGGACGAACCTATTCCTAGTGAATTAATTTGTGAGCTCGTATCACTTATGACCTTGACGGCACGGTTTTTAGGGACGTTGCTTTCCCAAGAAACCGTAAGCTCTATTAAAACAATGAACTCTCATATTCGCGAATTTAGAAAAAAATATTTGCTTGTTTGTTTTATTCGCGACTTTAGAAAAAAATACTACAAAATTCTCTGAAACGTAAAAAAATTACAACGAAAAACAGATATACATACTTATAGCACAACTTTTCTATTTTGATCTACTGATATTTTTAGCTCAAGTCTATGAATGTAACGTAAAAAAATGTTCAAAGTGTTTTTTTTAATTTTAGTAGTATTTACTAATTACATTTATTCATCGGATTTATAAAGAATTTAAAAGGATAATTACATAATACATACATTTTTATATGTATTCAATTGCAATTAATAAATAAATAAGTTTTGATCATGATTTTTTGAATATTGTCTTCAATTCAATTTTTTATATCTGAATTTCTCCATACCTTTGTATGAATATAAACCCAATGTTCTTTACACTACGGTATGGTTCGTTTTAAGCATTCCTTAAGGCTACCACTGGAAATCTACAGGCCGAGTATAATCTAAATACTCCTCAGTTGAAACTAACCTTAAAGAAAATTATACATGAATGAACATTCAGCCATTCGATTGTATCCACCGTAGAGGCAAAATACATAAAATATGTTGAATTCAGTACCGAAAATGTTGATAAAATTTATATTAAGTGCTTTGATGAAGTGAGAATTGATATAAAAAAATTATTATATAAAGATTAATCCCACCTGTTTTGGCTGTGTTTTATTTTCATCTCCAATTTATGTAATATTTGTATGTAGAATATAAACAATTTATACCCTTTTATGAGATGCAATAGATATTTATAAAAGTAATAAATTGTTAATTACCAAAACCACCCAAAATAAACATACCTGTATTTTGGAATGTTTAACTTTGACGGACACGGGTGTGATCAAGAATTTGAAATAATTTTCTAATTAAAAAGTTTTGAAGTGTTGGCTTTACTAGTATTGAACAATCTGAAAGGTGATAATTTTGTTTTCAATTAAAATTATCTATGTTTTACACGTGTTAAGCAATATCTACCGAAGATGTTATATTATAGAATATTTACATTCAGAAGAATTTCCATTTAGTATTTCCACTTTGTACCCATCTGCATATCCTGAGGAATGAAATCTTGGAGTCGGATTTTGATTTCATTTCATCGAATTTTTCTTTTTAATCTTTGTAGGCGGTGAAGCTTAGTTGTGGTCAGTTACTACAGCTGAAACATGGGCTGGCTCAACCGGCAAAGAACCACCCTCCTTGCTGTGAAGTAAAAAGAAAAGAAAAACAATCGGGAGTCAGAATGTTAGACAAATGTTAAATTGACACGACTAGCAATGACTTCAGAGTAGGAGAACTGTTTATTTCAAAGCTTAATTAAAAAAAATTACAGCATATACTGAAATCTAACTTGCAACTTTTTTAATTTTTCAAAATTTCTGCCGCTTTAAAGTATTTTCCCACAAAGAAATTAAGATTTTACATTCAAAATAATATTAAAATTACTTAGAATTCGATCCTTGTGGTAGAAAAAAATAATGAAAGCATTGTGATTAAAACTGCTTATTAAAGATTAACAATGCTGTTTCGACTCTAAAACAGTTTAAAAAAATGTGTAATTGTCAATAAGCTTTAAGCTAAAGCCTGTTATTAAACAGTTTCTGTCAGACAGAAGGAAAAAATCAAAACAGGCATATCAAGCGGTTGAAAATAAATAATAAAAATAGAAAGCTGAAAAATGCAATAACACGAAAACGTTTAGGTTTTCAAAGGGAAAACGTTTGTTAGGACAACTTTTGATACAGCTTTTAAAAGATTCCGAATCGTTCGAATTAGAAAAATTGGTATATGCACTAAAAACTATATGCAAAGGTCACTTAGGTAGGTGTAATGAAGAAAGAATAAGTATTTGATGAAATAATTTCAACTAAGATTTATATATTTTGACTTTGTTGAGAAAATTAATAATTATTAAAAAATGTTAAGCCAAAAAACTAGCATCTCGTGAGTTTTTTAAATCAATAATTAAAGTTCAGTATTTGTAAATTAATCTTATTTATCACTCAATATTTATATTATAAATAGTTAATCAAATAATATGTAATATTAAACTTATGACTGCAAAACCTTTTCCTTTATAGTGAGTCCAAACAAAACCAATCTACTACTGAGTTAGAAGTCAGTTTTACTATTTGTAACATAAATATAAATATATAATATAACAGTTAGAGTATCATTGTTGTATCTTGTATTTTTTGTTCTCAAAACGACATAAGCAAAATATTGACTAAACAATAGTGACCGTCGCATGTTTTAAAAACATTTTTGTTTAGGATATGAAGGAATTAATCGTTCATATCATTTTGCACTGTAAGGTACTTCTGGGTAGCGGTCAATACTGTGGTCGTTACGATAGAGTTCTAGAAGTCATACGTAAAGCGGTTAGTCCTTCGGTAACAAGAGCGCAAAACGAAAAAACCACAAACGAACAATCAACAGCTTATGTTGCAAAAGCACTAGTTCTATAAAATCAAACATTCAGCCTTGCTTTATCCTTAAAGCAGATCCGGATTGGACTATTATGATGGATAAGTATGGAAAACAATATGGAATCCGATGATGAAACTGATGCGTCGGCGTCCAAACCAAACATATTTCTTAGTTCGCGATATCAAAGTTCGTTGTTTTAATAGAACTTACGGTTTCTTGGGAAAACAACATCCCTAAAGATCATGCCATCAAGGTCAATAAGTATTATAAGCTCAGTAATGAGGCGAGCGTTTAGTTCGCGTTGTATAGGAACCCCTTAAAACTAAACTGCTGAGAAATTTCGACACTTTTAGAACAATTACTTTTATTTATAACCTACTTGTCAAACAAATCTTTGACAAGTTGTTGAATTATTACCGATTGATCTTACTTTGTGATAAATCATTGAATCTGTCCTAAAGTAATTGAACTATAACAAATTTCATAAATAAATTAGATTTCGAGTTTAGTTGAAAACAGTTTAAATCATTTGAGGATTTCGGATAAGAAGACATGAATGTTTTGTTTTAGAGAAAATAATATTATTTTATTTTAATTAATTCATCAATAATTTGTACCTAGTTATCTCCTTTTTCCGTCCGCTTCTAATTCTTAGATTTGCAAATTTGCAATAAAAGAAAGTTATATTATTTTGAAACTTACGAGTTACGGGTAATATAATTTACGTAGGAATAAAGGTCTGAATTGTAGTAAATAAACAAAAACGTTGTCTTAATGCTGTTTCTCACATCTACGACAGTGGTACTTTTTACTTCTGAAAATCAGTACTAATGAATAATTTTAACAATTTTGGAACAGACATCTATGTTTGAAGGTTAAATTTTTAAGGCCATTTTATATCTAACGTAGTAAAAGCGTATGAATGGTAATAATGTGGAATTAGAAATTAAAATATAATATATAACTTTATTATAACAATTTTAATTAAACTAAACAAGGGAAATACCGTATTGTCGTCTCTTAGCGCTCAGTAGAAAATAAATGGTGCAGTGCTCGTATTACAAGTATTACGGTATCAAACCTTCGTTGGGAATAACTTTCCTTTCTGTGCAATTAATGTATTAAGTAAAATCCACTTTACCTCGTTACTTATCTGTTCGGGCCAGTAGGCCCTATTTACTAAAGAGTTTTGACCAAATTAGAAGTTCTCATGTTTTGCTTAATCTTACGTTGAAACATTTTTTTTTTCTTATACAATCATGGATTTAAAGATTTATAACAAATATAACTTATCAGTGTCTTATGATGTTGTTTAATGAGTTAACATATTTAAATAAAACTATGGTTTTCTAATTTACTATGCGATTTTATTATATTATATTTTACTCAACGTTTTCTCTACTTTGCGATAACCGTGCTCAAAATATAGTATAAAAAATATTTGAAGAGATCTATCTAATAATAATTTTAGTACATTTGAATCTCGAGATGTTCTTTGTAAAGCAAAGATTGTAGGATATTATAATGGTACGTATAACTTATAAGTATGAT